AAAATCTTTATAATAAAGTTTTTGTATTGAATATACTAGTAAATGAACAGTCAAGTCAATTCTATCTATAGTAGTATAGTTTACATAACACCGACCAATAATCCCCCGACAGGGACTTCCTCAATTAGCGTGTAAATGAATTCATCATATCACAACAAGAAAAACAACGAAAGTGGCAGTAGTAACGCTCAATCCGAACTCCTAGTGTTTTTTAAATTTGATTCTTCGGGAACCAATTACCTCAATTCCCATAATTCAGAAGACCAAGCCGCCGTAGATTTACAGCTCGTCCTTGCGGTTAGCCTTCTTATCTTCCTTCTGCTCTTCTTCCTTAGCAGACTTCTTCTGCTCCTCTTGCGCCTTGGCCTTCTCCTTCTTCGAAGACTTGCCGTTGTTGTTGTTGTTGTTCTTCTTGCTCTGCTCCTTTCCAGACTTGGCTGCCGCCGCGCCCATCTTATCGTAGATGCGGTTCAGGACGCGCTCGAGCTCCTTGAGACGGGTGTCGAGTTCGGCGACGGGGAGGGCCGGGTCATCAGTCACGGTGAGCTGCTCCTGGAGAGCGAGCTGAGTTTCGAACCAGGTGTTGGTGGATTCGTAGGTCTTGGAGAGGCTGGTAAGGTCGTAAGGTTGGAAGATAGAGTACTTGGGACCGCTAGGCTTGGGGGTTGTGGTGGCCGAGGCGGTCTTGGTGGTGGATGAGGTGGAGGTGGTGGCATAGGGGTCTTCGTCGAGACCGACAGAGGAAGAGGTTTCAGCGGTGGTGGATGAGGTGGTCGAGGACTCGGTTGTGGAAGAGGAAGAGCTGGATGCTGCGACGCTGGAGGAGTAGAGGTCCTCGTCTTGCTGGATCTGTTGCTCCATCACGTCCATGACGGACTTGGCGTTCTTCAGGACTTGTTGCATGAGCTCAACGCGGGCCGGGCGCTCCGCGTTTTCCTTCTTTCTCTTGAGGGCTGGGTCGACGATCTCTTTCAGGGACTTGAGCTTTGCGCGGAAGTCGGCGGTCTTTGCGTCGTCGCCGTCGCCGTACAGCCAGTCGCTGGCTTCGGAGGCCCTCTCTTGCAGCGTGGTCAGCTGCTCGGGCTTCACTACCTTGGCGAATTCCTCGTCGTCGACAAGGTCGCGGCTACGGTAGATGAAGGATTCCAGTTCGTTGAGGGCTTCTTCGCGCAGGGCACGGTCACGGTCCGAGGCGTCGAAGGCAGCCAGGCGGCTCTTGATGCGAGCAAGTTCGGCTTCGGTGGGGGCGGGGATTCCCAGGGGAGATGAGGTGAAGCTGATAGAGATTGACTCCAGCTTGGTTGCGGGTGTGCTCTTCTTGCTCTCCTTGGCAGTTGTGGTGGAGGTAGCGTCATCTGCCGAGGAAGTCGTCGCGGCTTGAGGCTCCTCGGGCTCAAGAGTGATGGACTCGCTGGGCTCGCCTTCCTCTCCGAGAGGAGCTTGTTCATCCTTGTTACCCAAGCCAAAGAATCCCTTGACGCCTTCGACCACGCTTCCCTTCTTGGCAGACTCCACCTCGCAGCTGACGGTACCGCTGGCGACTTCAGGAAGTCCGTTGACAGGGCTCAGGCGGATGGCGAACTTGGTGGTGATGTTGGCAGCCGTGCAACCAAAGTCTTCCTTCAGTTTAGTGACAGAGGCAGTGAGGTTCTGTGTCTTCACGCCCAGAATTGGGGATTCGACGACATTGCCGTCCACGGGGATTTGGTGGTAGAAGCTGAACTCGAAGTCGTCCAAGTTCTTCACGGTAACCTGCTTCTCAGGGCCGACCTGGGAAGTGGGAGTGAAAAGCTTCTGCTGTCTCTCCTTAGACTCGGAAGCCCACTTGAGCACGACAGCGTAGCTCGAGGCATCGCTTGCTCGAATGTCCTTAACACGGAAGCTAGGGCTCAGAGCGGCTCCCTTGAAGGCAGCGCCAAACACTGCGGCTTCATCCGCATTGACGCTGGTACGAATCTTGTTGGCAGATCCGCAAACCCGCTCGAGCTCCTTCTGCACGAATGGTGTGCGGATGGCGCCACCGTGAAGGATAACGGAGTCAATGTCGCTCAGCTGCAGTCCAGCAGCCTCCAAAGCTTGCTCTAGGGGCTTTCCAACACGTGCAATATGCTGCTCCGCGAGTTCCTCGAATTTGGCGCGGGTGACACGGTACTTGAAGTTGAGATCCTCTTCATAAAGACTCTCAAAAGAGGCGCCCGTCTCAGTGTTCGCACTGAGAACTTGACGAGCCTTCTCCGCATCCTTCCAGAGTCTCGCCATGGTCTTTCCGTGGGCCTGGACATCAGCCGAGGAAACCCGGTCCTTGAGCTTCTTTTCCTCGACGAGGCTGGCGATCATATCCTGGACAATCAGATCGTTCAGGGCATCTCCACCAAGAGTCTTATCCCAGCCGGTTCCCAGAACCTGGACTTCCTGGACGGTCTTGTTGAATCGTCCCACATCCTTCACCGAGCGACTTTGGAAGCGAAGGACACTGGCAGTTGTAGAGCCGGCGCCCATGTCGTAGACAATGTGGTACTCGGGCTTCTGGCCATCCGAAACACTGGGGAACGTGCGGCTGGTTGCGTAGTTCAACCCGACCGCAAGATTATCGCTGATGAATGCATCGACATTCAAACCTGCCAGTTCGGCGGCCAATTCCAGACTCCTCTTCTCCGCGGCGGTGTAGAACGACGGGTAAGTGATCACGGCGTCCGTAATGTCTGATCCCTTTCCAGCCAGAGTGTCGGCATTAGCCTTGATCTGCTTCAGCTGCATGGCCAGGATTTCCTCAACAAGGAAGGCATCCTTCCTTTCGGTTTCTCCCAGTCTGTTGCTTCGCAGGCCGACCGTGCCACGGTCTCCGGGCGCCTCTTCCAGGCGCAAGGCAGGATAGCGGTTGTGGAAACTTTTGATCAACTCATTGTCCGCATCGAAAGGAAGTCCAAGCAGGGTCTTGAGGTTCGAGTAGACATCATCGGGATACCGTGCCGCTAGCGCCAAGGCGTCGCCACCGTAGAATCTCTCGGGGAACAAGGCATCGGCCTCGCGGGTAGGCTTGAACGCTACAGCGGCGGACTCCTTGCGCTTCGAATCTTTGGTGAGAACAATCTCAAGCGGAATTCCGGGTTTGACGAGCGTAGCTTTTAGGTACTCTGTACCGACATCGATACCAAGGACTGCGGAACCCGCAGCCGCGGCTGGGGAAGGAAAGCTGAGGACAAAGAGGAGAAACGGTAGAATTAGGGAGAGTACGGGGAGGGAGGTGAGCGAGGCATAGGACCGTCGCTGGCTGCCGGGAGCCATGGTCTGTATAATTCTGATGCTGCAAGAGTCAGTAAATCCTTCCGTCCCTGATAGTCGTCCTCCACACATTGTCGCATACCTTCTGCTTATTACAAAAATCCAATAATTCCCCATCCAATATATTAAGTAACAACTTTTCTTCTCTCGGTTATAATTTGAAAGAGCGATTGGTGAAAACAGCTATTGGTACATCGAATAGGTTTGATTCAGGGTCCGGAGGTGGGCTGAATAGTGAAAGTAGCTGTCGTGAACTATGAGCCGGTTAGCTGGCTGGAGGGAAGCATTGTGGAAGGAAACAGACCACGTACGCAAGATCTAGAACGACAGAGTCATCTAGGCCACAATCACAGTTGGAATTACTGGCCACCTGGCAGTAAGCGAAAGTAGGACCAAGAAATGAGATTCGCGATGAAAGGCGCGATGATTGCACAGAGGCCACGTTTGGCCGACCGGTTCGCTGTTTGTTCTGTTTGCCTCCGCCGATCGCCGCCCCGATCGGCGTGCTTAAAAGGAACCAGCTGCTTCAGGGTCCAACTAGATATTTCCATCTGCAAGGTGTGATCAATGATGTTACAAGTACGATGCAAGTGTGAGCTATATTTTTTTTTATATGGCTAGTCATCGTCGAAGTCAGAATCGCTCATCCATCCTGTCTCGTATGTCTCGCGGATCTCGCCCAACCCATTGACTAAAGTTTCCCGCTCATCCACGCCAGCCACTCGTCCAGCCAATGTCTCGTAGACTTTCAGTCTCTCTGCCGTTCGCGAAGAGACAGTCAATGCGGCAAAAATACTGATTTTCTCCTTCGATCTGAGTTCCGGGAACATATTCTGAGGGAAGCTGTCCAGTACCGGGAAAGGTAGGGTCGTATGAAACCTATATGTAATGTTAACGATGTGACTGCATGGAACGAGTTCAGCGGGCTTGTCTGACCTCTGGAACATTGGTTCCGAGTTAAAGTGTCGTTTTCTGCGGAGGATACCCTGGTCCTCCCCGCCCGACTCATTCTCCCGATCGGCAACTCCCCGTGAAACTTGAAGCTGGTTGAAGACATGGTGGGATTTTTGGCAGGTCAGCCCGTCGTAGGTGAAGTCCAGATCAAAGTCTTTCTTGATCGGCGAGCTTCCAGGTTCTTTCTCATCACTATCATCCGATGGTTTGGTAGGCGATCTGGCGGCATCTTCACCATCCTGCACGATTGTAGATTGCAGCTCGAATATCTTATGGATACTGTCATCACCGGCCAGGGACGCCTCAAAGTCGTGATATGGACGCAGTCGCGTGGGAAGTGACACGCTTTCCATGGCGGCGCTCACCAAGGCCGAAGTGTACCATTCCGATCGAGGATCGAGATAGATAGATCGGGGGATTCGACTTGGAGGGTCGATAATGGGCGCATACAGCGATGCCTGTGTGGAGATGGCATGTACAGACCGAGCTTTGTTCAAATCCCTCTTGAACTGAGTTTGCTGCCATATGATCCAGTGTAAGCTTCACATAGACCTAGAACATATCGTAGAAGCACTCACCCGATCGACCTTCTTTCCGTTCTCAATGGCCCAAACCCAGACGGACTTCTTGCCATATTCGTCCCTAATCCTGTCAATGTACTTTGCAGCAAAGCCGCCCCATGCGTCGTCAGAGCCGGTGAATATTTGCAGTGCACGCAGCTGATCGCATTCTTCTGCGAAAGGTCTGACGTCTCGGTCGAGCAAGTCATGCTCTTTGTCGAGCTCATTGAACAGTTCTTCGCCAACAGTCCAATCCTCAAAAGGCATGATTTTGGAGTTTAACTCATAGTCGTTGAGCTGCACAATGGAGCGAGGGTGATAGAACAGCCGGCTATAATCCGACCAGTACCTCACTGTCTCTGCAGAGAGCGTTGGAGCAGGTAGCCCCGCGTCGAGGCTCTTCTGGTAGTCACTCTGGGGAATTGGCGCTTGCTGTTGTAAAATCTCCTTTCCGTCCCTACAATCCCATTGTTAATATTGCATTTGCCTCGGATAAAAGAGAGTACGTAGGAAGGTGAAAACCCACCATAGACCCTGGCCCGGGGTGGCATCTTCAGTCAACTCGTACAAAGCGTTGTACTTGCGGAGCGTGCCAAAGCCACCTTTCAGATCATATATGACAGACCTAGGGGTGTATGTTTCCGACCCATCGGCGCCGACGCCTGGGCGAAAATGGACGTCATGGTCTACTGGAGATTCCTCTTCCTCGTTGTAAGTGAAGTAGGATTCCTGCCAGGGTTGTCAGCTATGGAATGCAAATTGGACGAGGAACGCAGCCGGATAATTGACTCACTAACCTGGAGATTCCAAAAATGTGTGGCCAGGTAATTAGCTCGTTGACCGAGCTGTAGGGTGATGATTTCATGCATGGTCGGTGTTGACAATTACTATGTCCCACATTGGCGTTGCACCCAGAAAATATATGCAGCTGTCGCAGATGGATCCTACAGGGTGATGCACATGCGGGGGGATTTCAATTCCACAAAGGCTCCTGAAAGAAGTACCGAAATTTGCAGAAGCCAATCTCAGTGCAGTCCAGGACCTTCAAATTATCTGTGAGTCTAGAACACAGCACCCACAACCTCATAATCGTGGGCAACTGATGGCATCACAAGCAGTGGACGCACAGACCACTGGATGCGCTGGTTGCCTATCTGGGACTAGTGGAAGATTCTGTGACACGTGAACCCCGCCTTCCCAATGCGGCTAGTTATAGTTGTCCCGGGCAACGGTCACGGGACTGCGGCGCGAGCAACAAACAAGCGTGGAATCGGCGGGATCGGTTGATTGTTGTGGGTGCGTCACCGATTAGGGGATCATCAACCGAGCACTACTCTCCTCTCACCTCCACTCCAGGTGGATTTTCCACGGGGCTCCCTTCGGCACCTACTAGTTTCACAATCCCTCGAGACACGACTGTCATGTTTGAGTCTTGAGTGAACGCATCATTTTATTACACTAACCACCCACAGCAACAGCACATACTGCCGCGATGGATTCTCCATCGAGCGCGACGCCGAGCCCGACAAAGGCCCTCAATCCCCTGTCACCAGACCGGATGAACCAGCAGATCGGACTTGGCTCACCCTCAATGTCATCGGATATTTTCAACATTCAGCGGAAGACTCCCCGGGGACTCACCGATGTACAGGCCAAGGTCGCGTATCTGAACAACTTGTCGCGAGGAAACAGCCCCGCACAGGGTTCACAGCCTTCAGCAGCATCTACGGCAGCTCTCCAGCGGGCTATTCTTGGGCGCGAAGAGGCTGAATCGGCGTTGGCCAATGTTTCCGCTCAGCTTTCTGAAGCCCAGTCGCGGGAGCGTCGGATAAGTGAAAGACTGGAGTCCCTGCTGGAAGAACTGCAAACAACAAAAGAACGCCAGGCCCATGAGCGATCAATTTTCGAAAAAGAAATTAGGAAGGCAAGGAAGGAAGCTTTTCGAGCTGGCTCCGTTCTGGTGAAAACACAGGAGGAGCTGAAAAACGCAAGAAACGAAGCAAAAGGATACAAAGACGAGGCCCAGGCAGAGCGAGCAGCAAAAGAACAAGCGAAACAGGAGGCTTTTGAACGCGCTTATGCTATTGCTGGTCTCACGGAGGAGATGGAGGTCCTTAAAGAACAGCTACGGGCCGCCGAGGCCAACAACCACTCGCAGAAGCTCGAAGCGCAAGCGCAGCAGAAGAAGAACGATATTGGACGAATGTCGCTGACTGAAGGCGATCTCAATCTCTTGTTGACACCTACCCCTCGGAGACCCAAACGTTCTGCTGAGGAAATAGCCAACCCGCCTCAAGCCAATGTCGCTGAATCTTCACCGGTCAAGGATACGCCTCCCAAGAGGCAAAGGATGTCAGACGTAACTCCTAGAAAGGAGGCCGCGGAGATCACGACACTCGATGTACATGAGGAACAAATTGCTGAGCTGGAGGAGACCCTCAGGTGCGAGCGTCAACTCAGAGTCGACGCCGAGGGAATGCTCGAATTCTTGCGCCTGGAGTGCCATTTTAAACGTTGCACTTGCCGCTTGGCAGAGCAGAAAAGCGTTCCTCATACCCATGAACCGCAAAGCGTGGCTACGACGAAAAAGGATGAGCTGGAACACCCGAAACATCGCAAAAATGACCAGAACGCACTTGCTGCACCAGAGGAGCCAAGTCCGTCTCATACTCCTAAAGGCGAGCCTAGATATGTGACAAGTGTCAAGGAACAAATACTGATGGAGGATCCTGCCGGAGAAGAAGCAGCCGAGCGCGAGGTGGCCGGGGATGATGTCGATGAAGATGTGGATGAAATCGTTGAAGAGGTCGAGGAGATCCAGGATGTTGACGATGACGACGACGATGAGCCTCCGGAGGAACCTTTGATAACATTCTCACCTGCCACTGGGACCTTCCACACCTTCCCTTCTCCTGTACGAGGATCTCCCCGAAAGGCCAACGAGGCTACTGCAAACGATCATCAGTCACCAGCAGCCTACCCTGAACACGGAATAGACGCCCGTGTGATGTCTGGTAGCCCTGCCCCGAAGTATGGGTCTCTTCAGCGCCAGGCTCCGTTTGATCCTATAACGGATCGTGAAGCTACTCCGAAAGCCCACCCCTCGCCAGCGGTTGTTGATGTGCCATGGGATCCTGTGATGCCCATTGGACATGAAGCCGGCACCCCTGAGAGGCACAATGACCCCACGAAGGTTCCTCTGCGCGATGATGGGGGATCAAATCGCTTTTCCGACGTTCCTGGGACCCCCATCAGCCGAGAAGAAGCACTGGCTCAGATTAGAGCGCGGAGAGAGAGAGCAAACACCATGAAGAGGTCTGTCAGTGCCAGTGAAAGCGGGCTCCGCTCGGGAGGCATGGGAGTTACTCCTGTCCGGAGCGCTCGACGGTACCCTGGCGTCCAGAATCCAGATGCAAGCGACGGTTCCATCAGAAGTCGGAGGGATATGAGCGCTCCTATCCAAATGTCCCACTACTGAAACCGCCGTCTCGTCACTGGCTGAACATGACAGCCAGGTTCAGTGCGCTTGACTCAACGATCCAAAACCATCTCTCATTCCTCATATTCTTGGTTAACGACTCAACTCTCTCTTGATACCCTGGTCCTCCGAGCGAAATGGCGTTTTTGTCTTTTTGGATGTTGATTTTTGTTGGGCATAAACGGTGCTCTCTTGTGTCCATTTCTTCTTATGCCTGTTGCTAAAAGCCATGACCATTACTTATTTCCCTCCTGCATATATCAAGAGGTTGATTTTCTCCCACTTGATTGCTTTGTTATTCTGGTCCTTGCTATTATTTTATCCCAACTCCATGGCGAATGAGCATCGCTTATCAGCCTTGACATTCTCTTAGATCATTCTCTACTCTCCTTTGTCTAGTGATTTTTTTTGATCCTTTTTGCTTGATGATCCCACCCTTTTTTGTATATAGGTTGATTTCTACGATGCCTGACTGGTGGATTTCAAGATGCTGTTTGGATGAAGACTAGAACCTTTATGATATTGACATGACATTTTCAATGTGAACTCGCCATTCTTATGAAAGTCATTTGGGTAGTAGTATAACTATTATCCTAGCACGAGCATTCCTAGAGATGGACTAGACAGTCTATAAATGCTAATACCGGGCCGTATATACTTTCATGCGTACACATAGTGCCAGACAAGACGATCTCGAAATATAGAAAGAAGAAACGAACAAGAAGTAGGATGCAACCCACTATTGCAGCCTAACTAGCACATACACCGTTTATATGATGGAAATACCGCAACATCTGATCCTCGCACTATCCACACGTGCCTTCCGACCCCACCACAGGTGAACGAGTTCCTCGACAAACAGACGGTCAGCTGTACTCCAGATATCCAGGCCCATCTGGGTCAGATCTTCAGAAGTGATCTTTACTGGGTCGCTATCGTCATAGGAGGCTCTTGTGTCGCGCGTGCCAGTCTCTGTCTGCTGTTGTAGCAATGGAGATCTGGAATCGTCTTCTTGGGTGGATTGTCGGCCAATGGTAAGGGAAGGGCCGGGACCTTCATCGTCTTCTGGATCATCTTCGTAAGGAATGGTGTCCTCTTCGGGTATCTCTTCGTCGTCATCTTCATCGTCATCGGGGGAATTGCGGCTATCGTGCCGGGCAACTACGTCGGATAGAGTGATGAAGATTTGGGCTGTGAGGCGACGGAAGTACGCGACTAGGGCGATTTCAGGCGGCTGGGTCGATTCCTGCGCTTGAATGCTTCGCCGGCCGAGAGATCCAGAGGGTGGGCTGGGAAGAGTTTCTACACTGGCTAGCAGGCGCGTGTCCTGTTCCATTTGGTGCTCTTCTTCCTCTTCTTCGGAGAGACCGTCGCGCTTCTCGCCGGCTGATGCCCACCATATGAAGGAGGTGTATGCCAAGCGTGTCCATGAGAGAGGTTCGACAATGGGACTGGATGAGTACGTCGAGGCTGCGTCCGAGTCGTCGTCGGCTTCAGTGGATGCTGGTTCTTCTTCTTGGGTTACGTGTCGAAGACCCTTGCGTAGGGTAGCGTAACGTCGTGCATCGCGCTGGGTTGCTCTGACTTCGATGGATTGGGGCGTCTTGCCCTTTGGCGGTTGCGTATGAAAGATGGCAATAGTAGGAAATACCTTCTCTGCGGCGTTCTTGGCGTGAGCGGGAGGTAAGGTGACGAGGACATCGAAGAGCTCAGGCTTCATGGTCAAAACGCTGTCTGTGCTGCATGCAATCCAGGCTGCGTCATGTTCTGCATTGACCGAAGTGCCCACAAAAGATGAGAGGTGAGGAATATCATGAATGCCGACATTGAACAATGGGCGAGGTCGCGGAGAGGGTAAACCGTTTTGCGGCAGTAAAGGAAGGAGCGAATTAGGTAAGGAGGCCAATAAAGAAAGATCGTACACTGTTTGACTGTAAGCATGGGTGAATGATATTGAATAGCAATCATACCATAGCTACAGGGCTCTTGTACTGGCGCTTCGGCCATGAAAAGGATCCTTTTGCGCAGCAGTGCTGCTCTGTACAGAGGAAATAGGAGAGGACCGAAGGAATCTAGAAAATTAGGGAGCGAGGAGGCTGGGTGGAAGGGCGTCAGGGCCGGCCTGGGCGTTTCCAACACAATTGCATCACTGAAAGCGCGGGTTCGATGGACGGCATCTCTTAGATCACCATGGGCCCGCAGCCGGAGACTGAGAGGAGACTCCATGGGGGAATCGGGTGGCATAGCGGAAGAATCACTTTCACGGATCTCGTAATTATCCCAGTACTCTGTTAAAGGTTGCGTATTGGACATATCCTCGGCATAGTTCCTGGAAGCGATCATGAAAGCGTCAACGGCCGGATCAAAAGGACAGCGCATGGCCGATTTCAACTTACGCCGCCAGTTCTTTGAGCTTGGGAGCATGTCTCCAGCTTTTCCCCAATCTTCCGGAGCTTAATGGGACGAGAACCCCAATAGCAAACATCTTTGCATTTCGCTCCGCTTCCTCAGCCGGCCAATTGACAAACGCGCTGATGCCAGCATATTGCTCGTGGACGAAGTATCTGGCAAGACCGAGCTATTAGCAAGCATTCAAGACCGGACGAAGCCGTAGTATACGTACACCAGATCTTCTGAGACATTGTGTAGACCAGATGGAAGCGACTTGTACTCCACAGCTCCTTCAACTTCAACTATATGATCGGCTGGGTTAGGCGACGCTATCACGGGGAGAACCGTTGAAGCAGCAGGGTACTACTTACCCCCGGGAACAGTACGCTTCCACGATATCACGTATCTGCATTCCGGAAGAGCCGTCAGTAATCATAATTATTTGGCGCGGGTTGCTGTTAAGACAGACTTGGAATTCCTCACCCGGCCTTGATATCGAAACGAATGACGAAGAGGGCCGCAATGCCAGGCGGCGACTCGACGACCGTAGCGGGGCGGGGCACGTCAAGCCCCAGGGGCTTGCGTCTAAAAGGACCAGGTGCCATTGCCGGAGAGCGCGTAATCAGCAAAGGTGACCGACCCCATGGAATGAGTGAGAGGAGCAGAATCACGGAGATGGCGACATCGGACGATACAAGCTGGCGTCGGTCAAACAGTTAGCGGACCTTTGGGGGGGAGAGAGTTGCGGAGAAGCTGTCGTTGCCTGAGGACACTAATCCCGCTAGCTCCATCAGGTTAGTTCCGTGCGGATCAGCTGAATGAGTTGCAATTGCTATTCAGAGCTGCTTCCTTCATGATATCCAGTTGTTCACAAAAGAGAGCAAGAGAAGACGATTTGAGAAGAGATTCAACCAGTGGTACTTGCTTGAGAACATTGGCTCCCCAGTCCAGTCGCTTGGATAGGTCTGGTTATTTACTGTACTCTCCTTACCGAATTGGGGAAAATCTATTGAGCATCCACACTATACTTTATTCCGACCGACTACTGGAGCCATACATAAGTGAGAGACCTCTTCCTGTTCGAGCCTCTGTCAATCCAACCATCGATCATTCAATCGAAGGACTCAACACAATGACTACCGTGGAATCGAAAGCTCTACCCCATCCCTACTACCCCCTCGATGCTCAAATCCATGGTTATGCTCCCAACGAGGCTTCCTTACTCAGTATCCTCAGTACTGCTAGCGTGGGCGCGGCAGCTTTACTGGGAATAATTTTCACCCTGACCAGTAGACTCCGACCAACGCTAAAGAATGCCGACCGTCTTGCTATCCTGTGGTTTGCCCTCTGTAAGTCGGACTTCTTATTTACGTACTGCTTCAACAGCGAGACAGCAATTTTCGATGCTAATTGCAGTGTGAACCCCCAGCGGGTACGATTCACTGCTTCTTCGAGGGTTATTTTATGATCAACCATGCTCGTATGGCATCCGCGCAGGACTTCTTCGGTCAGTTATGGAAGGAATATGCCCTGTCGGATTCGCGATACATGACTTCAGATACCCTCGTCTTATGCATGGAGACTATCACGGTCGTAGGTGCACCCGTGGCTGCAGGGACCCCTGCTCATTGTCCTCCTTAGCTCCGTCTGCGACACCGTTGCTAAATTACTGGAATAGCTTCTTTGGGGCCCGCTCTGTTTCCTGGTCGCATACTTGACCATTTCTCAGCACCCTCTGCGCCATCCATTGCAGATCATCGTGTGCATGAGCCACCTCTATGGCGATGCTCTGTACTATGCGACCAGCTTGTTCGATCACTACGTTCATGACCGACCGTACTGCCGCCCGGAGCCTTACTACTTTTGGGTGTACTATTTTCTCATGAATTTCATCTGGATTGTGGTTCCATTCTGTACGTTCCAGTCTCACGGCTCCCTTGCTTGTTTCCCACTCGTTTAGAGCTGACGATGGACCTAGACTATCTCTACCGGAGTATCCGGACAATAACAGAGGCTCTTAGAGCCGTGGAAAATACTTCCAAACAGCGCAAGGACCGATAAGGAAAACGTACAGTGAGAGATGATGTCACCCGTGTTATAAACGGAACAGCATCTAGATGAGGGGTAGTGCTGGCTAACGCAGACCAAGGGCCTTGACCTTTCCCTGACCATGCATGCGTTTAATCTCAGAGGGCATTCCCGCATGAGATGATCTTCGCTTCGGCCGGAACAGCCCTCTCTTGTCGAGTCTCCAATCAACAGCACCCGAGTGGGAAAAAGCAACCCGCATAGCCCAGTGCATGACAACGCACTCGAATTATCAATAAACCAGGTAGAATACTTTTCCCTTTTTAGCCCACTCTGTGACGCGTAGCCCCCGGTGGATCGGTTTAGGCATTCCTGCTCTTCCGGCAAACAGAAGGTATAGCTCCGAGAAACACGTTAATTACACCGGAATGATCGTCTCACGGCTACTGTTCCGCGGTGCAATATGACTGCTCTATTTATCGGATTTCAAACAGAAAGAGTTGAGGAACTTTCAAACGACCACGACCTTGGGCGGCCAGGGTAGTGACAAGGTGCGAGGCATGGGATGCAGAGGCCGCAAAGTCAGGTGGGGATTGAGGGCCCATGTGCATCTCATCAGCCAGCAGCTATGACCATGACCGTGCAGGGTAAGCTGGAATAAAGAAAAGAAAAAGAAGGGAAGGGATGGATAGATAAATAGAGGGGGGCATTTCCCTACAAGTCTGGAATCTTGGATGGATGTACCTGATCCATTCGATTCCACTTGAGAGAAAAAGGGAGGGTCGAACCACCGGTCGGGGAATGAATAATTGAGCTCTGAACGGTCGAGCCCAAGAGCAGCAGCAAATCATCATTTCTGGCGGAATGCGGTTGGCTGGTGCAAACTAAACTTGGGCGCCAGATCTGTGACGAACGGGGCATTCTGGCCATGGAATTGGTTGGGGCCCAGTGAGTGGCGCAGAGTTCAAGCTGGTTTCCCGGGCAGCCTTTCTGCCAAAGAGGGCCGAAAGTGTGTCCTGTCCGTCTGTTGTCCGTCCCGCAGTTCCAGCGAAGTATAGGCACCACCAGAACCAGACACAACTGGATCAACACACTGGTGTGTTGTGTTGTGTTGTTATTGTTGTGCATCCAGGCTGGCCTTGTGGATTATTCTTCTTGAAAGAGCCTCTTCAAACTCTCGGAAAGGAATGAGGGCCTCTGAAGACATCCAAATTAGCAACTGATTGTCTCCCCGCGCCAGCTACTCGACACTCTAAACCAGCGCCGTCCGTGTGTACTACTAGACTAGTGAAGCTGCGCTGCCTACGTCTGGTCTCCATTCTGCACTTGACCGCCTATTCTCGCTCAATTCCTTGCTTGTTCTTGACTTTCGCGTTGCATATTCTGTCTTGAATTCGTATTTTGCTTTTGTGGTGTCCCAATTAATTGCTCTCTCCCCAGCAGAACCGCTACCTTGTGGTTGTTTACCAGGGTATGTGCTGTCGGTGTCTCGAACTCGAGTGAGCTTCCCCTCCCATAAACAAACAACTGGTGACGTCGGTGGGTGGATTTCCCTATCTTTCTTTGTTCACACTACCCTCCAAAAAAATTGTCAGCTCTGCGATCGCATCTATCCGCTGATTCCGTCTGACATCTCGATCAACCTCCGCGACCTCAATTTCACTGCTAATGCCTGGTTCCGGTCGCAGATTTCCATGCCGACTCCTGCCAACCCGCAGCGCCCCTCCAACCGTGGGGGAGGCACCAGAATATCCCCGACCAAGAAACCGCTCGACATTGGAGTACCCCTAGGCATCTACGATACAAATTCAGTGCGGGCAAAGGTTCGCAAGTGGCAGCAGCAGGGGGGCGGGGTAATCACAGCCAATGATGGGGTTTGCTATGACGACGACGAGGAGAATTCAACAGCCGATACCAACTCCAAAGTGGTCGAAGATAAGGGATCTGGTAGTTCCAATGGCTCTGGAACGAGGAAACGCAGCAAAAGCACGCCTCGCAAACGAGTCATTAGTGATGAGCATTGGAAGCTGAACCGAACCCCTACCCAAACGCCTTCTTCCAGGCTCCCTCCGCCGAAACGCATTGCCGAGTATACCACAAATGACCGTCTACGTTCTCCGCAGGGTGACGAGGCGGAAGGTGCGCGGGAGGACACAATATTGCCCTCTCCGTCCCGCAACAAGGAAAGGGGCAGGGCTGCTATAGCATCCGACCTCGCGACAAGAGAACGGAGAAAATCGAGGGCATCTCGAGATGTCGATATAATACCTGAGGACAAGGCCGAGGAGGAAAGTGCGTCTCACAATGGATCTTCCAAGTCCATTTCGCGACCTGCAACCGCCGACAAAACCCATGCACGTGCACGGTCGGAGCTGTCGCAGAGTGCAAAGACAAGGGACGGAGGACTGTACGAGGACTCCGAGTGGGCGACAAGCGAGGCCGACTTCTCAGAACTCTCCAGGCGACGGGCGCGAGGTCCAAATCCAGTACCCCGGGGTGCTGCATCTAGAGGCCGGGGAACGGTGAAGCCCCCCAAAGGCGGCATATTCTCCCATATGCTCGATGAATCAAAAAAGATGTTCGCTAAACCGGAACCTCCGAAACCCAACCGAGGCGCTAAAATAGAGGCATGGCTTTCTGAAACGCCTGACCCGTTCGTCGAGGACATGGAGCCCGATGTCGAGATACCCGCGCCATTAAACACTAGAACCGGCAAGAACAAGGAACCCGTGAAGCAAGAGGATGTGCCGAAGGACAAGTGCGATACTGAGCCTCCCCTTGCGAGCGACACATCGAAGAAGGATGATCCGCCAGCGCAGAGGAAAGAAGGCCCGACTGCAAGCGAACAATCAAACACAGCAGAACAGAAAGCAGAGCCCAAGAAGGACAGCGCTACTTCGGACAAACGCAGGGCACCTACAGAGCGTGAGGAGAAACCGCGGTCATCAGGCGCTGATAAGCTACCCGTTGGCAAACGACCCCGTGCCAACAACGATAATGCATCAGAGACTGAGTCCCAACAGCTGTCAGAGGGCTCCGAAGTGTCTGCGAATAATGCACCGGTGCCCCTTGGTCGTCGAAAGCCATTTCCCACGACAGGGGCCCATCCCCTCTCGACAATCGCGTCTGTTGAATCCATGAGCACAACGAAGAATGCTACAGGATCAGGACAAGATGCCGCATCGGAAAAACGGGAGGCAGAGTCCACCCAGGCAAAGCTCGACGAGGAGGAGAAAAGGGACCAATTCGACCCCAACTCACTTCCTGCAATCTCCTCCCAGTTAAAGAGGCGCCTCACCACTCATGATGATTTGATATCAGTCCTGTCTGCTCCAAGTGGTCGGAGTAGAAGCCTTCGGTCTGCCAGGAGTCTGAAAACGAAGAGTCGCATCACTACAGAAAACATTCCTGACCTCCTAAAGGAGCTGGCTGCTGACGAGGTAAAATACATGCGTGAGCTTAAGACCCTGGTCGGTGGTGTTATTCCAGTCCTCTTGACATGTGTGCTATCAAAATCTGATTCTGCCATTGCGGCGGGACTCTTTCGACCTTCTGCCGATCCAAAGGATGAGGTGAATTTCAGCAAGCCCATAGTGGACATGGGAGTTGCTATTGAGCGACTGAAGACGCTGCACAAGCGCATCCCGCAGGATGATGTGGAAGCTCTACTTAACTGGGCGAATGGGGCACAGAGAGTATATCGCGAATACCTCAAGGCTTGGAGACTGGGGTTTAAAGACGTCATCGTCAATCTCGCGCCTCTTGAAGAAGGCGAGGCAGGCGACAATACCGACACAAAGAGTTTGGACGAGGGCATGGCAAGGGATGAGAACGGTGATGTGGTGGATAGTGACGGTGAGAAGGTTGACGTGGCTTACCTTCTGAAGCGACCTCTCGTACGCCTGAAGTACCTCGCAAAGACCTTCAAAGGAATCAAGACCATTCAGCCATCTCCCAAGGCCGAGGATGTTGCTGCGGTATATCAGAGCCTTGTGACAGACGCCCGCCGCCGGGCGCGCGAAGAGAGAGCAAGGCTTGAGGATGAATCTGCTGCCAACGTTGACGCTACGCGTGCCAGAGATCCTGCGACCTTGGGTGCACTTCCTGGAGTTACTGTTGACAGAAGCCGGAGAGTCCGGGCCCGCGATTTCTTCAATCTTTCCTTGTACCACACAAGTGGCCAGATCATTGACTGCCGCGCAGAGCTCCTCTTAAGAGACGGGGCCGGTGGGAATAAAGCAGGCGGAGATCTACTAATCTGCGAAATTGATCATACAGATCGTTGGTTGCTATTCCCTCCTATCGAGGTTGGCCGTGTCTCTGCTCGCAACGGCGACGTGAAGGGCGAGATCGTGGTCATGCTACGCAGTGGCCCGAACCATACCAAATCCTGGCAAGAACTGCTGGTGCTTCAAATTGATGAAGAGGATATTGGATTTGAATGGGTTCAGATGCTGGGCTCGAATCCTCTCCCACCGGCTATCTGTAGAACCCAGAGCTTTATCGACAGGACCAAGCGCCAACGAGCAAAAACTATATCCTCAGCCAACGAAGCCTCTCAGGCACAAAAAGCCCCACCAAGTCCTTCAAATGTCAACGTTCCTATCGGAGAGAAGCCTACTTCTCGTACCTTGCGTCGATCCTTGACCCCTAAGGATCATCTTTCGGATCCAAGTACCGTGAGCTCCTGGATCAGTGAGGCCCGTACTTCACTGCAAAGTGCAGTAACTCCAGAGTCGGACTATGCTATTGGTGACGAGTTATCGATCAAGTCCCCGCCTCCGCAATCTATCTTGCATGCCAGGGAACCCCGAAAAAGCTTCCCGGCCGATGACAGACCTTCCCCGGGCCTCAAACGGTCAAAGGCCAAGAGGGTCAACAGAAATGGAGAGATCATTCCTTCTAGCCCTACCACACCAACAGACCCAAGCTTGGATCGAGGAACCCATTCAGTCCACGAGGAAGCCAAACGCTCAGAAGAGAAGAAACCCAAGCAGCAGCAGCAGCAGAACCCGAAAACTCCAACGAAGAGTACCCCTGAAAAGAGTTCTCCCCGAGTGTCTTCCGTGCCGTCAATGGATCTTCCTCTAATTCCAAAACTCAGAAAGGGCAGCAGTCAGACATACATCTCGGACTCTTTGGCCTCCACGGAGGACGACGATTTCCCTCCCGTGGAATATGATGACATCCCCGAAACTCCTAGCAAGGACAAGACTCATTCTCGCCAGCACTCGGGTTCGGACCAGGTTGACGATGATGAGTCCCCACCACCTCCGCCGACTCATTCTCGGTCACCGAGTTCCATTGGCTCCAGCCTGCCAAATACCCCTGTGCTTAGCCCTAGTGGTGTGCGGACTAGACGCCGTGGCTCCTCGCCCCTAAAGCATGAATATGAACCGTCTACTGCTTCGGATTCGTACTCGGATTCTGATACATCGACTGTGCGTCGGTATGAAGTGCATTCGGGCTCCGAATATTCGGACACGGACAGCTCGGATGAATCAGGGGATGAGCACGCATCACTGCCACCGTTTGAAGCTCCGACCAAGCCAAAGGCCCAGGCTCCAGAAGCCACGTCTGCTAGTAGCTCTCTGTCACTGTCCAACTCGGCCTCTCAGGGCGGATATAGATCCGTTCCTTCGCAACCGAGCAAGTCGTCCACAGTGATTGCATCAGTCTTCGCCTGGTCAGAGAAGGGCTCATGGGATAGCATCTTCCCCGATGATTGTAAGGTCATAGTCAGTCCTGGGCTCATCGAAGCATATGACGTGGGTAATGCACCAGCCGGGATGGAGGAAGATGACAGCGACACGAAGAAAGCACGCCCACTGATTGCCCTTGAGCTCACACCCCTTGTGCCTATCCGTCGCGGAACAGCCATTGATATAAGTATTCGCTCCCCTCCGACCAAACGGTCCAAGATCAACTGGAGTAACAACATCATGTTTCGATCTCGAAACGCCGACGAGTGCGAATTCCTATACGGTCTCATCAATCAAGCGCGCATCAACAACCCAACCTACATAGCCCTACAGAATGCCCGAGGACCTTACGCAGAGCAGCCAGCCCCCGTGGAATCAACAACGAAGAATGGTGGATTGTTCGGCTGGCCACGACGCAGGCGGAGCTACCGTGCATCTGTTTCCCCACGGTCGGTTGCCGACAACTCCGAGAGTAGCGTAGGAACTATGAGCAGTGCATTCTCAGCACTGAAGCGGTTCGGAGGGGGAAGCAAGATGTTTAACATCTCTCGTTCTTCGCTCACCTCTCGCGATGGGCAAAATGAAGACAGCTTATACTCAAGCTCCATCGGTTCCGGATCGAATGCCTCTCCTTCTTCCGGCATTGGTCGTATCGCAGCCGCCATCAAAGGCAGTGATGGTATCGGTCTGTCCAACGCTAAGATCCGACTTTACTTGCGTGAAACTCAATCCAAGTGGCGCGATATGGGTGCTGCAAGACTCACGATTATGCCTGCGCCCTCAGCACCTCGTGCTTCTGATACGGCCAGCGGGCGCGGTGATGCCAACAGCATTGCAGAAGGAGCCGAAGACACTTCCCCAGCATCTGGATCCGCTTCTCCCCGACGCGGAGCGGAGCCCGAGAAACGTATCCTCGTCCGAGGCAAGACACGCGGGGAGGTCCTCCTTGACGTCTGCCTAGGTGAAAGCTCTTTCGAGCGAGTTGCTCGAACCGGTATCGCCGTGTCCGTATGGGAAGAAAACGAAGGCGGAGCCATGCCCAAGAAGGGCGGTGTTACCGTCGGGAGCTCCAAGATCTATATGATCCAAATGAAGAGTGAAGCTGAAGCAGCATACACCTTCGGACTTGTCGGAAAGTCCAAATACTAAACTGACTTCTTCATCAGGAAATGATATCTAACCCCGGATACTCATTCTAACCTTCTTTCTCAATTTTCGAACATGTCCCCTCGTTCGTGCATTTGACTTTTTAGCGATGTTCCTATAAGTTACTACAGGTGTTATTGTTATTGTTTCATGTGCATATTCATACCCCCTCATGCTGATGTTTATTTCTTCCATTATCTTTCTTTTTTTTATCTTCCATACTTCCCTTATTTCCCCTCTTGCGAGGCCCCCCCCCTTTTCACGATTTTTAGATGCCCATGTGTATATGAACCGGAAGACGAACTGCGAATGTGCGATGCAAATCTTAGAGTCTGATGAAATCCTATACCGAACTTCTTTTCCATTGAACTATTACTCAAGTCACATTAATGTTTCCTTATTTTGCTATATCTTTTCTAAAGCCTCATTGGTTTAATTTCCTCTTCACCACACATGCTCAACTTCAAGCCAGCACTGTAATAACATACATAGTATTTCAAAATCTCAATATTATTCTACTGCATATGGACTCTGAATATCCCTGCAAATACAAGTCCGTAGTATCAAGAAATGGAAAATAGGGACTCCAATTGCATACTTCTATATACACAATATACTAAGATTCACTTAACCCATGCATGCATCTATTCGTATAAACTATACTATATGTATGTCGGTATGTATGCGCCTCTATGTGTATACGTGTATGTGTACCGTAGGAAGTCGATATATGAATCAATCCGAATCCGGAATAACCACAACCGAAGAAGACGCCAGAGTCCCGTCCTTGCCATCTTCTTTCGTCTTAGGCTCAGGCTCAGGCTCAGCTGCTGCTGTACTGGCCTTCTTGAAGACGTATTCGATTCTATTACCGTCCTCATCTTTGAGCAAAGAAAGGAGCACATCGTCGTCGATGGTTGATTCGAGTTGTTCGGCAGTATCTGTATCGGTGGCGGTGAGATGGACGGGGTCTATGTGACAGTATTGTGATAGGGATTGCTGGATTCGGTTCTTTTGTTGGTTCGCGGGTTCGGTGTTGTCGTCTTCATCTTCGTCTTCATCGTCACCCTCGATTTTGGTTCCCGCCCTTGACCTGCGAGTTTTGGGTCGGGATCTGGATCTGGATCGGATTAGGCGCTCTTGCTTCTCCATGTCTACTTGGGAGGCTTTAATGAGGGTAGGAAGATCGGGGAAGTCTTCGAGGGAGCTCGAGGATGAGTGATCGTCTTCCTCGTCTTCGTTCTCAGTCGCTGTTGGTGGGACAAGTTGTCCGTTACCTCCACAGTCACAGCCTAATAGCTCGTGTGTTTGGCACTTGCTTTCTTCGTCCAGACGGAACAGGTCTTTGAGCTCGTCCCGCGAAAACTGGGCCACGCTGTCCCTCTTCTCCATGACGCTGTCGGCAAGCCCGATTTTGGTTACTTGACGCTGCCAGATCTTCTCTTCGAGGCTGCCCTTGAGGAGGATGCGGTATATTCGGCAGTGACGCTTTTGGCCATCACGATGAATACGTGCCATGGCCTGGATGTCGGTGGCGGGATTCCAGTCCACGTCGAATAAGACGAGTCGACTGGCACCTATGAGGTTTAGCCCGGTACCTCCAGCTTTTGCGGACAGGAGGAAGGCGAAGCAGAGGTTCGATGGAAGGCGATTGAAGTCCTCCACCAGTGATTGTCGTTTCTGCGCGGGGGTGGAGCCATCCAGGCGGAGAAAGGGGAGGGAGAGAGACGTGAGTAGGTTTGCTAGTAGATTCAAGGTAGAAGTGTAGTTGGAGACAAGGACTATTTTCTCCGAGGTTTTTGTGCGTAGACCATCGAGTAGCTGATCCAGGACACGGAGTTTGGCACTTGATGAGGGAGTGAAGTGGCGTAGGAGGTTCGGTGGTAAAGAGGATAAGAGAGCGGCGATGGTCTCGCTGGGCTTCTCATTCACATCTCTGGGTGTAAGCAGAGATGGGCTATTGCAGAGCTTTTTGAGGATAGTGATAAGTTGGAGAGCACTCTCCGAGTTTCCGAGGGCGCTTTGAAAGACTGGGGAGGCGAGGACGTTCTGGTAGATGGTCGCTTGCGTGCGCGTCGCCTTGCAAAATAGCACATACTCCGTCTTCGGAGGGAGATATTTAGCCAGGATATCGGCTGTTCTTCGAAGCATGAATTTGGAGGTGAGCTCTCGGAGCTCCTCATTCCTCGCCTCTCCCTTCTCTATGTCCTTTCTAGTGGCCTCGGGCTGTCGGCTCTTGACGATCGGGCCCTCGAATTCCCTAACAAACGACTTGAAAGTTCCCAAGACGCCGGGGTTGACAAGGTCTACCGCGGCAAAGAACTCCTTCAAATCATTCTGAATAGGTGTACCGGATAGAATGATTCGCTTTGTCGCATTCAGGGACTGGATAGCTTGGCCACTCTTGTTCTGAAGCGTCTTCAGTCTGTGACCTTCATCGGCAACAATGATGTCGACCCCATTGCTGTTGGCTAACCCTTCTTGCACCGATCTGAGCTTCTCATATCCCACAATCATCACACTGTAAGCCCTTCCTCTCGTAAAATCAGTGAGCCGTTTCCTCTTGTCATCGAAGACAAAAACTCCAATTCGTTCATTTCCAAGCCACTTGCGAAATTCCTTCCTCCAATTATTGATTAAAGTGACCGGACAAACAATAAGAGCTTTCTTAACAACCGGGGGATTATCGTGTACTGGGTTTTGCTTCAGAAGTGTCCACAAGAGGGTTATGGTTTGCAAGGTCTTCCCCAAACCCATATCATCTGCTAGAATAGCCCCTTCACCGTTGAAGGACCTCATTCCCATAACACATTCATACAAGAACTGAACACCTTCGCGTTGATGAGGTCGCAAATGTTTAGCCAGAAACGGATCGACGACAACATCAACAATTTGTTTCCCCTTTGGCACCGAATCCGGCCGTTTCATGACCAGCGCTCCAGGCTGACTAGGATCATGGCGTGGAACCGGCTTCTCCAAGGGTGTGGGTGGCAAAACAGTGCTTTCCAACAACGGCCTTTTGTACGTGCCAGTGACCGTTCCTTTCCTCGAAGCAGGGTTGGCGAGCGTTGGTACATTAGGCTTTGCAGGTTGACTCTTAGCAACAGTCGTCGAAGCAGAAGTACCAGTACTGCTTCGAACAGGAACGAATGCTTTGGTAGGCGGTGTTGTCGAAGGAGGTGGCGCCTTTTTCGCTTGCAGGTACTGACGACCAGACAAGTACTCTTTCTTAGACAATTCGGAATCGACTTCCACTTCCTTGCCTCCGATCGATAGCATTACACCGGGTTCGAGTCGGGAGCCATATATCACCCGTCCCATGTCTCTTCCGGAAACATCCTGCAAGTAGGCGTAGCCATCGCGTATTGTCAGGACACCGTCGCCATCCCACGTTTTATTTTTCTTCGTAGTGACTTTGCGCCTTCACAGCTCGTTAGCCTACATAGCTATCATGTAAGGACCGAGTAGAACAAGATAGACTGAACGTACCATAGGACATTGAAATACCTATCTCCAGTGACATCGCCAGGGCTTACTGATTCCGCTGAGGGTTCCACATCCTTCTTGAGTTGAGTTACAGGCTTCAGCGATCGTCCAGCGGCTGGAGTGGTGTTCTCAACATCTGCCGGATATTCTGGCTGTAAACGCGGCTTCTTAGCTGGAGGGCCGTCAGCCTCGGAAGTCTCAGTTGGAACAGCTGGTCTCGAAACAGTAGGCTGAAGGGGTTTCCTCATCGAAGGAGGCTTGAATGGCTTGAAAACCATCACGATTGATGGCTCCTGATGCTTTCTGCTGGACAGTTGCGTCGTGGAGTTGATGAGTCTTTGCTGCACGCGACAGCCTCGAGACGCGCGGGTGTCGCGACATCACGTGATGATACAGTACTTATTGCCTAATACGGCAGTAAGACATGCCGTGCCTTGTGGAGTCTATATGTTATAGCATCTACATTGTCTACATTGGATTCAGTCTCTTATGGAAGCTTTGGAAAGTTTCTGACATGATCTTTGGTTCCACAGCACGGTGTTTTTCCACCCACGGAGGTCAACGCATTGTATCCAAACCGGATCAGTGTCAGGATTATATACAGCTCATAAATATTATTCTAGATATATTTGCGTCAAATAGAGCACAGCGTTGAGTGATAGGCCAACAATATTGCTCGGTCTGATGCGCCTTATGTTCATAAGTCAAAAACATCATCCTAATCTAACAACGCTTAGTCCGCGTCGGCCACAATCACCTTGTCGGTCATAGGAATAGACTTGGGCCCCTCATAGGTGTTCATGCGGAAAAGCCACCAGACAGCCACGAAAATCGTCAAGCCTCCAGTCATCAGACTAGCGTAGTTCATCGAAGCGGCATCGGTGGGCAGGGCGTAAGGGAAACAGAAGATCACAACAAAGGCAAGAATGTAGATGCATGCCAAGAGGTTGACAAAATATCCGATACGGCCCATCCAGAAATGACCAGGTGCGAACGAGGACCGGCGAGTAAGCATATGCGGAAAGATGGCGGCGAAATACGAGAGACTGGACAGCTGCACGAAGCAGCCAACGAAAGCGTTAAAGGCAGTGGTGGATCCGACGTAGATGCAAGCAAGAATAGTGACAATGCCACCGCATACCAGGGTGGCATTGAAGGGGTTGTGCATCCGCGTGTTGATATGTCCGAGCCAGCGAGAGAAAGGAGTTGCTCCGTCACGAGAGATAGTCCACAAGGTGCGACCAGCAGTGATGTAGCAACCAGCGCAAGTGATGACTGTGGGTATGAAAGCCACGATAAGCAGACCGATTGCACCGCCCCTGGATCCTGTTGCTTGACGGTAAATCTCGGCAAGGGGGAATCCGTAGACGCTATTGATGACTGCGTCGAGATCGGTGATTGAATAGAAAATGGCCATCATGTAGAAGATACCGGTGATGAAGCCGACGCCCATCTGAGCCAGAACAGCTTTGGGAATGTTACGGCTCGGCCTGTTTATCATTAGTATACCGAAGATATTATCGTCATGATGGGAAAGTTACTTAGGAATTTCCTCCGCGAGGTGTGACGAGCAATCAGGAGTGCCCACACTGTATGCTCCATTGAGCATACCGGCAACAAAAACGAAGCCCTGGCTAGAATATCCGGTATCATTTTCCCAGCTACTCCAGACATCCTTGCTTGTGGCATAGCCTGAGCCCTTAACATGGGGCATGACCGCACACACGATGATGGTGATTAACACACCGGCCAAGATGAAGAACATTCCAAGATTGCCGATATGTGGGAGGAACCGGTTCATAAAAAGGACGATGCAGCAGCAAAGCCACGTGCAGATGATGAAGCTGACAAAGATATGCCATGCCTGAGGGACGAAGCCAGGATGCATGAGGGCATACATAGAGACAGTCTGCTGCCCTAGGATAGCGGACATGGAGGCAGCACCGAGAATCCAGGCGAGCGAGTTCCAAAAGCCCGCGAAGAAACCGCAAACACGTCCGTACCTTCCCGCTGTGATCGAAGCCCAGTGATAGACTGGGAGTTCTGTCAGCAACCTAAC